TAATTCAATTTTTCTTAGGCAGACGATTTTATTGCATATTCTTGCACAAAATACACCGAAAAGTGTAGAAAAAAATTGACACCCAGATCCGAGTAGAGGAAGACCATTTTTATGACCAAAAACACATCCAAAAGCATAAAAAACCTTTCAAAATAATTCAATTTTTCTTAGGCAGACGATTTTATTGCATATTCTTGCACAAAATACACCGAAAAGTGTAGAAAAAAATTGACACCCAGATCCGAGTAGAGGAAGACCATTTTTATGACCAAAAACACATCCAAAAGCATAAAAAACCTTCCAAAATAATTCAATTTTTCTTAGGCAGACGATTTTATTGCATATTCTTGCACAAAATACACCGAAAAGTGTAGAAAAAAATTGACACCCAGATCCGAGTAGAGGAAGACCATTTTTATGACCAAAAACACATCCAAAAGCATAAAAAACCTTTCAAAATAATTCAATTTTTCTTAGGCAGACGATTTTATTGCATATTCTTGCACAAAATACACCGAAAAGTGTAGAAAAAAATTGACACCCAGATCCGAGTAGAGGAAGACCATTTTTATGACCAAAAACACATCCAAAAGCATAAAAAACCTTCCAAAATAATTCAATTTTTCTTAGGCAGACGATTTTATTGCATATTCTTGCACAAAATACACCGAAAAGTGTAGAAAAAAATTGACACCCAGATCCGAGTAGAGGAAGACCATTTTTATGACCAAAAACACATCCAAAAGCATAAAAAACCTTTCAAAATAATTCAATTTTTCTTAGGCAGACGATTTTATTGCATATTCTTGCACAAAATACACCGAAAAGTGTAGAAAAAAATTGACACCCAGATCCGAGTAGAGGAAGACCATTTTTATGACCAAAAACACATCCAAAAGCATAAAAAACCTTCCAAAATAATTCAATTTTTCTTAGGCAGACGATTTTATTGCATATTCTTGCACAAAATACACCGAAAAGTGTAGAAAAAAATTGACACCCAGATCCGAGTAGAGGAAGACCATTTTTATGACCAAAAACACATCCAAAAGCATAAAAAACCTTCCAAAATAATTCAATTTTTCTTAGGCAGACGATTTTATTGCATATTCTTGCACAAAATACACCGAAAAGTGTAGAAAAAAATTGACACCCAGATCCGAGTAGAGGAAGACCATTTTTATGACCAAAAACACATCCAAAAGCATAAAAAACTTTCCAAAATAATTCAATTTTTCTTAGGCAGACGATTTTATTCTATATTCTTGCACAAAATACACCGAAAAGTGTAGAAAAAAATTGACACCCAGATCCGAGTAGAGGAAGACCATTTTTATGACCAAAAACACATCCAAAAGCATAAAAAACCTTCCAAAATAATTCAATTTTTCTTAGGCAGACGATTTTATTGCATATTCTTGCACAAAATACACCGAAAAGTGTAGAAAAAAATTGACACCCAGATCCGAGTAGAGGAAGACCATTTTTATGACCAAAAACACATCCAAAAGCATAAAAAACTTTCCAAAATAATTCAATTTTTCTTAGGCAGACGATTTTATTGCTATATTCTTGCACAAAATACACCGAAAAGTGTAGAAAAAAATTGACACCCAGATCCGAGTAGAGGAAGACCATTTTTATGACCAAAAACACATCCAAAAGCATAAAAAACCTTCCAAAATAATTCAATTTTTCTTAGGCAGACGATTTTATTGCATATTCTTGCACAAAATACACCGAAAAGTGTAGAAAAAAATTGACACCCAGATCCGAGTAGAGGAAGACCATTTTTATGACCAAAAACACATCCAAAAGCATAAAAAACCTTCCAAAATAATTCAATTTTTCTTAGGCAGACGATTTTATTGCATATTCTTGCACAAAATACACCGAAAAGTGTAGAAAAAAATTGACACCCAGATCCGAGTAGAGGAAGACCATTTTTATGACCAAAAACACATCCAAAAGCATAAAAAACCTTTCAAAATAATTCAATTTTTCTTAGGCAGACGATTTTATTGCATATTCTTGCACAAAATACACCGAAAAGTGTAGAAAAAAATTGACACCCAGATCCGAGTAGAGGAAGACCATTTTTATGACCAAAAACACATCCAAAAGCATAAAAAACCTTTCAAAATAATTCAATTTTTCTTAGGCAGACGATTTTATTGCATATTCTTGCACAAAATACACCGAAAAGTGTAGAAATAATTGACACCCAGATCCGAGTAGAGGAAGACCATTTTTATGACCAAAAACACATCCAAAAGCATAAAAAACCTTCCAAAATAATTCAATTTTTCTTAGGCAGACGATTTTATTGCATATTCTTGCACAAAATACACCGAAAAGTGTAGAAAAAAATTGACACCCAGATCCGAGTAGAGGAAGACCATTTTTATGACCAAAAACACATCCAAAAGCATAAAAAACCTTTCAAAATAATTCAATTTTTCTTAGGCAGACGATTTTATTGCATATTCTTGCACAAAATACACCGAAAAGTGTAGAAAAAAATTGACACCCAGATCCGAGTAGAGGAAGACCATTTTTATGACCAAAAACACATCCAAAAGCATAAAAAACCTTTCAAAATAATTCAATTTTTCTTAGGCAGACGATTTTATTGCATATTCTTGCACAAAATACACCGAAAAGTGTAGAAAAAAATTGACACCCAGATCCGAGTAGAGGAAGACCATTTTTATGACCAAAAACACATCCAAAAGCATAAAAAACCTTTCAAAATAATTCAATTTTTCTTAGGCAGACGATTTTATTGCATATTCTTGCACAAAATACACCGAAAAGTGTAGAAAAAAATTGACACCCAGATCCGAGTAGAGGAAGACCATTTTTATGACCAAAAACACATCCAAAAGCATAAAAAACCTTTCAAAATAATTCAATTTTTCTTAGGCAGACGATTTTATTGCATATTCTTGCACAAAATACACCGAAAAGTGTAGAAAAAAATTGACACCCAGATCCGAGTAGAGGAAGACCATTTTTATGACCAAAAACACATCCAAAAGCATAAAAAACCTTTCAAAATAATTCAATTTTTCTTAGGCAGACGATTTTATTGCATATTCTTGCACAAAATACACCGAAAAGTGTAGAAAAAAATTGACACCCAGATCCGAGTAGAGGAAGACCATTTTTATGACCAAAAACACATCCAAAAGCATAAAAAACCTTTCAAAATAATTCAATTTTTCTTAGGCAGACGATTTTATTGCATATTCTTGCACAAAATACACCGAAAAGTGTAGAAAAAAATTGACACCCAGATCCGAGTAGAGGAAGACCATTTTTATGACCAAAAACACATCCAAAAGCATAAAAAACCTTCCAAAATAATTCAATTTTTCTTAGGCAGACGATTTTATTGCATATTCTTGCACAAAATACACCGAAAAGTGTAGAAAAAAATTGACACCCAGATCCGAGTAGAGGAAGACCATTTTTATGACCAAAAACACATCCAAAAGCATAAAAAACCTTCCAAAATAATTCAATTTTTCTTAGGCAGACGATTTTATTGCATATTCTTGCACAAAATACACCGAAAAGTGTAGAAAAAAATTGACACCCAGATCCGAGTAGAGGAAGACCATTTTTATGACCAAAAACACATCCAAAAGCATAAAAAACCTTTCAAAATAATTCAATTTTTCTTAGGCAGACGATTTTATTGCATATTCTTGCACAAAATACACCGAAAAGTGTAGAAAAAAATTGACACCCAGATCCGAGTAGAGGAAGACCATTTTTATGACCAAAAACACATCCAAAAGCATAAAAAACCTTCCCAAATAATTCAATTTTTCTTAGGCAGACGATTTTATTCTATATTCTTGCACAAAATACACCGAAAAGTGTAGAAAAAAATTGACACCCAGATCCGAGTAGAGGAAGACCATTTTTATGACCAAAAACACATCCAAAAGCATAAAAAACCTTCCAAAATAATTCAATTTTTCTTAGGCAGACGATTTTATTGCATATTCTTGCACAAAATACACCGAAAAGTGTAGAAAAAAATTGACACCCAGATCCGAGTAGAGGAAGACCATTTTTATGACCAAAAACACATCCAAAAGCATAAAAAACCTTTCAAAATAATTCAATTTTTCTTAGGCAGACGATTTTATTGCATATTCTTGCACAAAATACACCGAAAAGTGTAGAAAAAAATTGACACCCAGATCCGAGTAGAGGAAGACCATTTTTATGACCAAAAACACATCCAAAAGCATAAAAAACCTTTCAAAATAATTCAATTTTTCTTAGGCAGACGATTTTATTGCATATTCTTGCACAAAATACACCGAAAAGTGTAGAAATAATTGACACCCAGATCCGAGTAGAGGAAGACCATTTTTATGACCAAAAACACATCCAAAAGCATAAAAAACCTTTCAAAATAATTCAATTTTTCTTAGGCAGACGATTTTATTGCATATTCTTGCACAAAATACACCGAAAAGTGTAGAAAAAAATTGACACCCAGATCCGAGTAGAGGAAGACCCTTTTTATGACCAAAAACGCATCCTAAAGCTTAAAAAACTTACCAAAAAGTTGTAAATTCAGATGTTCATTACATGAACATTTTGCTTCCTCGTGGAGAAAGCAAAATTTTATTGACAAAATGTGAATTTTTGATTTTATAACTTTCATTAATTCTTTAAATTTACCTCAAATGAATACTTTATATATATCGATCGATTCGTCTTGACGTAAAGAATACAATTTTATTATATATAACCTTAAATTTTTCGATTTAAAAATTTTTTCGATTAAAAAAAAATTTTTGGAAAAAAGACCATAAAATTTTTTTGTTGGAGTATTTTTCAAAATCCTTTGGTCAGATTTGAGATATTAATATGATAAATAATCTAAACAAAAAAAAATTATTTTCAATTACTATTTTCTACAAAGGATATAGTGGAGAATAAATAGAAAAAAATGAGACACATTTTCAGGCATATTCCATTCAAGTACAGATATATTATGTACGTCATCGCAAACATCGTGACTATTTACAATAAATATACAATCGATTAGATTATTAATATATAAATAAAATATATCGTATCGTTATGTAGTTTATGGTTTACAGCAACACGTGACAGTAAACAATTAGATCATAGCGGCAAAATAGCGTATCCTACCAAAGTAGTGGTCGTAGCTATGTAGCGTTGTGCTTTGGTTTCAGCTCCTTTTTTTTTATTTTTTTCTTTATTATAGCGTCGTTACACATTCCTTTACTTTGATTCCGCTATTCATTCGATTATTTTTTTTTTTGAGCGTGCAAACGGATTTATCCAAAGTGAACATATTTCAAACGGCGAATATATTAATTTGAATAAAGAAGCGCTTAAAATTAATTTTTTACAAAAACATTTCTTCCTCGCATTTTATACAAAATATATTTTAAAAAAGAAAAACAATCACAGAATTAGCTTCAGTACTTTCTCTTTTTTTTTTTTAAATGGTGTTCGAATCGTTTATAACATAACCTCAAAATTTAAAAAACAGTTTGAAACAAATAAGTAGTATTTTTAAATTATCTTTTGAAAATTTTTTTTTAAATCGTTTCCTTTAGTCATGTGTGAGAAAACAAATCGAACACTGAAATCACAAAGTTGTTGAAAAGAATTTTTTTCAAAATATGTTTCTTCGTTGAATATATATTCACTTTGGTCCAGGTGCAAGCGTATCGAGGGGATTTTTTTTTTATTTACAAGGTCGTTTTTTTTTTTGTTAAATTTTTTCAAAACCCTTTTTTCTCGAGGTTAGAGAGGACATAGAAACGTTTATTACCCGATAAAGTTATTAGCGAAAAATTGCGAAACAAGAACTCGAAACTTCATAGAAGTTAGAAGTCATAGCAATAGATTCTCTCTCCTGATTTATTTTTAGTTTGGTTTTTTTTTAAAGATATATATTTATATTTATATATATATATTTATTTATATATACTCCAAAGTGTTGTCATACATAATATCTTTCAATTCTTTTACTAGCGTTCACATATTTGACACTTGATACTTAATAAAAATAGTCCATTTCTTAATAGCCGAGTTTAGTGGATTATTTATTCTATATCAACAGGGACAACATATTACAGGACACTTTGAGGGCGGCAGATTTTTTTTTTTATTTATTTATTATTTTTTTTTTTAATCATTCGGGAGGAAAAATCTACATTTTTTTCAAATAATAATTATCGAATAAAAAGAAATTTATTTTGCGTTTATATTTTCGAATTTTATTAACTCAAAGAAATGCCCGTTAAACAAAGAAAAGAAACTATTTTTTTAGCAAACATTCTCTTACGAACAAACGATATGGACTCTACGCAGAAGAACCTGACTTTTCTACGCCTAAGGAAAATCGTTTAAATTCGTCGAAAGAGCGCGTAAAAATATTTATAAATTGATGCTTTTTTTTTTTTTTTGTTTTTCAAAGTATATAGAGGTGGCAGTCTCATATATATATATATATGGTGTGGGTGTAAAAAATAACCAATCCCAACGCTGTTATAATTATATAAAAAAAATATTAAAATTCATTTTAATTTTTTCAATTTTCAATTATAAAAGATTTTAATTATTACTAAAAATTATTAATTTTTAAAAATACTAATTTGTTTTTAGTATTTTTAAAAAATTTACAAAAAAATACGTTGGGATTTGTTAGTGTGAAGGTAGGATACGTGTTTTAAGATGATCACGAATTGAAACTGTAGTTCAGTCAAATGCGTTTGCGAATTTTTCCCAAAAAAAAACAACTTTTAGTTAATCTCAAACTATTTTCCTTCTAAGACATTAATTTATTATTCCTTAATTCCATTTAAAATCTATGAACTCTTTTATTTTTATTAGAAAACTTAGATTTGTCAAATAAAACGAAAAATCGTTTTCCAGTGAGAATAGAAAGTTTGCATTTTTTTTTCTCGAGAAATTAAATATAGAATCGAGTATTCTCGCAATATTAAGATGTTTGAATTTTTTGGCGGGAGAAACATAACCTCGAAGTTTCAGCGTTTTATAAATAGAAAAACTTTAGACTAGGCCAAAGCAGAATGAAATCTCTAATCGTAAATCTTAAGTTTTTACATGAGAGAGAAAAGAATAGAAATATCTTTTGTCCTTTTCTCTCTCATGTAAAAACTTAAGATTTACGATTAGAGATTTCATTCTGCGTTGGCTCACTTAAATTTTTGTTATCAATTTATTTTCAAAGTTTTATTATTGTTTAAAAATAATAATATTAATAATAAAAAGAAGAAGTACAATTTGAAAGATGAAAAATTTTTAATGCCATTTTAAATTATTTGAGGTTATGTTAGGCACCATAAGATTCGATCATTTTAATAATTTGCATTATTTTCTTGAACCTCAGAATGAAATTGGTGTCAGTCTCAACACTCTCGAGTCAATTATGGAAAGATTCATATTTTAACGAAGCTCACCTAACCTATATTCATTTTTTATACATTCAAAGTAGCGCGTTTATAAACCACTAAATAAGACAACGAATGTCTTCTTTTTATTTCACCTATATATAAGTTTTTTTTTTATATATAGATGTAAGGACGCCACTATTTTTTTATATGTTAAACCTTTCGTGTATATAAATGAAGACGATTATTGACTTTTTGATGATGATGATAGAGTAATAAAAAATAATCGGATGACAATATGGGGATTATTATTTTCGAGTTGATATAAGAGTGGTTGGGGGGGGGGGGGTATTGACGGTAGTTCGATTTCGACGTGAATACACATATTAATTCGTGAAGAAACAGAGTTTATCGATCGTTCCATTTATCCAGCAAGCACAAATACGTATTTTAATTTATTTATTTATACACACACTTCTTTAAGTGACTTGATTTTTTTTGTCACAATTGTGGAAACTGAGGATAAAGATGTTATTAGTTTTATAAAAAAAAAAGAAAGGTAAAAATTTTTTATCATCCTCAATTATTCCACTATTTTTTTTTTTTTATCACCGTTCAACGGTGATACACTCTTCATTCATCACTAGTTAACGCTAACAATACATTCATTGTTAAAAATAAGTTAGCCTTCATCAATTTTTCTTTTCTTTTCGTCCATAGTTCAACATTGCACCGAGAAAGCACCACTATATAATACAAATTTCTCGCCTCTCTCATTCATCTTTTATTTTTTGAAAAAAAAGATACTCGAGACTGATGGTCACTTAGTTTTTATATAAAACACGACAATTCTGTGAGTTCTATATTTTTTTTTCTTCTTATCGTCGAATGTATAACAAATCGAGAAGTTTGTCGTTGAAAATTTTTGTTTTCATTCATACAAAACAAGGGTCAATTGAGAAAAATAAGTTTTCATTTACTCCTCTAGCTTTACGAAAAAAATAAAATCCAATTTTTAGAGGATAAAAAAAAAGTTCTCTTTAGAAGAATATAGGGATAATTTAATAGACACGCGGTAAATTTTTGTAGGCAAACGTCAATTTAAAGCTAATTTATTGACTAGGATCATTCATTCCATCTCAACGACAAACTCTCGGTAATATACCTAATCCTTTTTTTTTATGTACCTTGTATCAAATCGTCGCATTGTTACACACTTGCGAACGTCTTTCAATAAAACCGTTATTAAACGGACACTTCACTAATCCTTTTTCTTCCAATAGAAAAATCGTATTTCGACAATTGTCTTCTGTTGGAAATTTCATCTTCGGGATTTCGGTTTCCACTTCAATTTTATATCTTCCATAGAAGATGATTCACACACTGAAAGACATAATTCTTCATCAATCGTAAAAGAGTTTGTATCACCGAGATATCAGTCGTATTCTGGAAAACTACTTAATCCTATAATAGACCCTATCACGATGTAGTAATATAATATAATTTTTTTTTTAGTATTTGGCATCTTTGAAATACACAAATAGACTTTGGTATAAAACTTTTTCTTTTCTTGATAGTGTTTTTGTCACTCGCGTAGAGTTTGTAAGAAAAGTGTACACTCACACATACTAGCAAAAATTGTCGAACCACCACAATTTACAAGTAGCATCTCTTCTTCTGCGTCGTTTTTGACTTGTTGGATCGACAGGTTTCTTTGTGAATCTAATATTATAGGGATCCTCCGCAAGTTCAGGATAGAGTTGTGCATCGTGAACGTAGTCACCCTCGTAATTTGAGACAAGTCCAACTTTTACAATCTCCTCCTGTTCGGCAGCTGTCCATTCAATCATTGTCAGTGTATTTGCCTCAAGAGCCTCTCTCTCACGATGCCAGGCTTTTCTTATCGCGGCAGTTTTTGCATGATGAAGAAGTCTCTGTTTCTCCTTCTCAGCGGTTGTACCATACCTGAGATTAATAACATAACTCGGTCCGTGAATTTTAACATCCACCAGTGAACTACTACCACTGCCATTGGAATTCTGATGAAATGTTGTATTCACCTGACCACCCAATCGTTTCAATTGGCCACGATCCTCGGCCGATTTCCATGTTTCTTCTTTAACAAAATAGAACGCATCTTGTTGAGCGCTATGCACAAATGTGAAGGGAAGAAAATAGGATTCATTGAAAACAGTCGTGAAAACGTCTTTGTAAATTGTATTGGCAGTAGGAACACTCGAAACAACAGCTTGACCGTTCGCAGTTCTAGAAACCAGAATACCCTTTCCAAAAGGAGGATCAGACGCTGCGCCCAAACGATTAGGTATCAATTCACTTGTATCTTTCTTCAGTGCTGAACGCGGTGGTGCTGACAAACCCGCTGCATCACTCGAATGTCTCTGTGCAATGTAAGCCAAAAAACCCGACTGCACTCCCAAATTCCTTACCCTCTCCTTCTTGCCAAATATCGAAGTCCCCGAACTCAATGCCGGTGGAACGTGTCTATCATCCCTCCCATTGGGAAACAATTGCGGTGCCAAACTCTCCAAATCGTAACCCAAACTCGACAGCCAAGAAGTATGATCCGACAATTGTTTTTGACGATTCGTGTGTGCCACATCAATAGGATTATTTCCATTGAAACGATAAAAATGTAAATGCGTTGGTGTTTGAAGTCTATCCAATACATTCTCCCACAATGGCGACATATATTGACCAATAAGTGGATCATAAACTTTACCATTTGGCATATGAACCAATGATGTCACAGCATCCAATATACCACCACAAAAGTCCACCGGTATATAAAGATAAGGATTCGAATCATAAACAATATGCCCATACGGTGATCTCATTATTTCCCTAACACCCTCGCCATATTGATTAAAAATCATAATTGGCGTTCCACATTGATCTGTTGTTATGTAAAATTTATTTCTATAAACTTGCGCATAAATCAAATGTCCCCTATCGTCATAAACCAATGATATTAGTTTTCCATCCCTTGGACTGTAGATTTGACTAACTTCTTGCGGCCTCTTTTGATTTGTATAGAAAAATTGTGTTACATTTCCATAATTATCTTTTCGTGTCGATAGACGATCCAAATGATCATAGTAATATTTTATATCGAAACGTCCTCGTTTTGTAGCACGTACCAATAATCCCTTAGCGTTGTAATCAAATCTTTCTTCACGCGCATTCTGTATTACTAGACCCCTATTATCGTATTTGTATAATCCATCTCCAAATTTGACTATTCTATCCATTGAATTATAACTCATTGGTATTGTATTACCACGATAGGTTAGGGACAACATATTTCCATTTGGATCGTATTTAAAGTCCCAAGGTTCTTGTGCCTCGACACCAATTAATTGTCCATCCGCATCCCAAGTGTAGTTCTTAACATTTGTGTAGGTATTAACTCCAACATTACGAGTATCAGTCCTCGTTTGATTGATTCTACCCCAGGAGTCGTGAGTAAATTTCATTCTAAATACTTCCATACCGTGAATTGTGACCGTTACTTCCGTCTCTAGAAAACGCATATCAGTTTTTCTGGAAAATATCGCCGTTCCATCGAAAACAGTCGTTTCATTTGGTTGGGGTTTTGAGATTTTGAACGAACCTATCTGTTCTAATGTTCCAGTTTTACTATTGTAGGCAACAATGTGCGATGGAAGATTTTGTCCACCAATTCTACCTTGAATGGACGTGAGCCTAAAATTAGAATCATAGTCAAAGGTGAATTTAGCATTGCTCAAACCTGTCTTGGCGCTAAAATCAATACGTTCTTCAATTAGAAGTCCAGCGTTGTATTGATAATCCCATTTGTATTCGACATCTCTCTCCGAGTGTATTACTTCCGATGGTAAGCCACTTTCGGTGTATTTCATTTCACTTTTACCATCGCCATTAACAACTTCGGCCAATTGACCAGATGTGTGATAACGATAGACGATACGTGCTCCATCACCGGGAAATATAGTTTGCAAAAGATTGCCATCGTGACTGTAGTGTTGAAGATAGGATCTTATGTTTCCAGGTGGTGTGTATGATACGCGAAGAAAACCTAAGGATGATTGACAGGAGAATGAGTGTTTTTCCTTTGATGGAAGAATTATGTGTCGTAATCCACCATCGTCATCGTATTGAAGTGAAAAAGCGCGACCACTCGCTAGGGTTATTTTTGACAGCATATTAAAATCATTGTATGTGTAGCTTTTCGTTCCGTCTTGAGAATTGTGTGTCATTGCCAATTGTCCATGACGATCGTAACCATAGGATTCGTCTGTTGGGCCCCATTTCCAGTCATTCATACGATTGAATCTATCGTAAGTGATGGTTAAATTGTGTACTTGTTCCTGTGGTTTCCAAGATAATGGCAGACCTGATGGATCGAATGTTACGGTTAATAGTGGATTTTTCGATTTATCGTAAAACATTTCGCGAACGAATGTTTGATCGAACTCAACGCCTATTACTCGGCTGTCGTTGACCCAAATTTCACGACTCAGGGTCTGTTGGGGATGACTTACGTCACCGACGAGATTGTAGGTGGTTGTCATTACGTTTGTTAATTCTCCCAAAGTCATCGATTGGTAACTCCACATTGGGAGCATTTCGGCTTCGACGGGAAGAGCCGCTTCCAAAAGGGGATGTTTTGTCATTGCTGCGGTCATAACTCTTCCTCCACCTGGTAGAAATACTTCAAGTGAACTATTGGGATAAGATATCGCTTTCTTGATTCTCGTACCATCGATAATTGTCAAAGTATTCAATCTTTCGTTTTTCATTTGAAATTCCATGAAACGTTGCTTTTCGCCCAATTTTAAAGCCTGAAGGGGAGCGGCAACTTTGACGGATAATGTCTCGTCGGTTGTCAATTGTGAGGAGAGTTTTAATTTCTCGCCAGTTGGTAAAATCACTTGGGTTACACGTCCAAGATCATCGTAATTGTACATGTAAGTTTCACGACCACCCGATCGACTAGTCAATAAACCTGTTGCACTATCATAATCGAGTGTTATTTCCGATCTTCCCTTCTCTGAGAGTTTAACCAAAAATCCAACGCCTGAGATTTTTAATTCCGATTTATGATCCTGGGTGTTTTCAATGGAGCTCACGACATTGCTGTAATCGCGAAGGAATTGTATTTTATTGCCCGCGCTATCAGTGACTGTTGATAGTTTTCCAAAACTAGTGTTCTTACTGTAGAGGAAGGAGTATCTTGTCTTGCCGGATGTTAGATCCTTAGTGTCGACATGTTGTCCGTAACGATTGAAGACATAGACTTCGTTTGATGGTGGGAAGGGAATGTGAAATTCGCCACTTTCGTCATGATTTGGAAGATAGGGTTGTAGTGCGAGAATGTGTAAACTACCCTGATCGGCGATATGTAAAACACCATCGGGTGAAACTGCTAGAGCGGAAATGGCGGTAAATTTAGCATTCGATGAGAGTAGGGTCTCGGTACTGCTTGTGTCATCCGTACACGAGCAGGTGAAATCCGATTCCTTTGTACTTGGTGTTGTATTATTGCATTCACACTGTCCGCGAAGGTGTTCGTGTTGTTGGCCAGCGAAATAGGACATTTTACCTGATGAATCGACAACTCGCACTGAATTAACACGATGGGAATCACTATCGGCAATGTATAATTCACCAGTTGGACTGAATCCAACGGCCAAGACGGAACCAAGAATATCTTCGGATTTTTTAACACTGGTGGCATTTGTTTTTGAATCGTTGTTAGTTAAACCGGTGGTACAATGTAAGGGTGTTCCAGCGACGACACGAACTTTCAAATCGCTAGTGAGTTTCAACACAAGACGATCGTCAATAAAATGTAATGATCCATCCAATGGACTTAGAGTTAAACCAGTTGGCCATTGAAGTTGTGCTTGATGCGCGGGAATTGCTCCAACACAAGGAGCCGGTGACCAATGATTATGATGACCATGATGACCCACAAGTGTGTGAATCATTCCCCTAGGATCCACTGCCCTTATATTTGTTCCATCAGCAATGTACATTGTCTTGTCGGCTGCTATTGCTATTCCTAAAAAAGAAGAGGAAAATCCGTTTTAAAAAAAGTCAAAGGGAAATTAATTATAAGTACTGTAACTGGAGATTAAAAATAACTCCATTTATCATTTCCCTCTACGTGGGGAAACTAATCAATCTTCGTTATCAATTAATTTTAAATTAGACGACACTTTAGGCTCATGGTAAATAATTATTCCAACTACCTTGGCGGATAAAATTAATGATTACCTTTTGGGTGAGCAAGTTTTGCTCGTATGGCAGGTCCTTCATCGCCACAATGACCCTCATCACCAGGTATACAGCGTTCGCCACTACCAACAACTGGTTCAATATTTATATCAGGATCTTGGACTTCGTCCAAGGAAAGTGCTCTTAGAATTTGGTGTTTCTCAGGATCGCTTATGTATAAATGACCATCGGCTGGTGATACACAGATGTAGTATTGATAAGCCACTTGCGTTGCTCTGAAAGGTAATAAAAGATTAATTTAAACTTTCCTTATAGGAGCCAGTTTTTTTTTTTTTTAATATTAGACATTAATTTACCTTAGCTTGAGAACAGTGTAGACTTTTCCCTCGGGTGTGATACGGCGAACAAGATTGAAATCACCCACATAGATACTGCCATCGGGTCCACTTGTTAGAGCAACTGGTGTTAGGAGTAGTGCGTCTTTCGCTAATCCATTGCAATCTTCGCATTGTAATTTTCTCTGAAGTCCCGTGCCCATGATGACTTTAACCGTACGGGGATATTGTTTGAAATGAAGTGTCGATCCATCGCCTTTTTGCAAAATTCCCTCATGGAAATTGTAGTGATGATGAATATCCAAACCCCAACCGCCAACATCCGAAATATCAACATCGAAACCTTGCAATGTTGCGGTTTGTGTTTCCCAAATGACTGATGGACATGTCGAATGTTGATAGCCAATGGAGATTTTCGCTTGCGCAATACCATAAACCTTTTGCTTATACACATTTCTCTTGTTCCAAGCGAATGTATGCGTTAAATTAGGATCAGCCTCGTATGTTTTTGTATGCAATGAACCCTCAATTTCCACATGTACATGAACATGAGTCAGTGATTTTGGAATAAATGACCCCGTTAGTTGCATTCTCACTGTTGACAAATAGCCCGCAGCCTGACTACTCTGATACATCAGGTGGAGATTCGATCCCGGAATTGCAATACTCTCTTGAACAATCTACAAAAGGGTTTTGTTTTTAAAAAAAAAATTCTAATTTTGATATTAAAGAATGAGAAATTTTTTGATAAATTTACCTGAGTCTCGGCAAAGACCAAACTCTTGCCAGGTAAACCGCCAACTTTTTCGGGCATCCATGTGTCAACAATGATTGGTCGTAGTGTTTCGTGATCGTGCTCCTCGCATGGTCCATTCAATCCAAATAAACCCACTGAAAACCCTGGGAAGCCTATTATATTTTATGGAGTCAATTAATAGAATACTTGAGATTAGGAACAACAATGGACGGCAATTGAACGAGTACACGCACGAACGAGTAGACAACATCACAATGATGAGATCTTACATCAAATTTCAATTATATATATGTATACACTGAACATTGAAGTACTTTCAACACACATAGGGGCCAATTCACTATTATTTGATAAAAAAAATTGCAATCGTGCCAAAAAATAAAATTTAGTTCTTTAGAATTTTCAATTTTTAGGTTAGAAAATAAAATTGAAACGGGGTTCGGTTGTTAAAAATTAAAAAATGTTCTATGTTTCTAATTGACTGGTTATTTTCGGAGATTTTTTTTAGTAGCGACCCACCCCTGCTTGTCACTCTATTAACATTACTATTTCTTTGAATTCAAAAGGTAGACCAGGGCTGGGTAGTCACAAATCACAAAATGTTCGTCGCTTCTGATTTGTGACTACCCAGCCCTGCTCTACCTTTAGAATTCAAAGAAGTAATAATGTTACTAGGGTGATAAGCAGAGGTGGATCGCTACTAAAAGGAGATAAAAATCGATAAAAATTTAGAAAAATTAGTAAAAATAAATAATTAAATGTTGAATAAAATTGTTTTTTTCTTAATAAGTGAATTGACCCTCAAAGGGTATTGGGAAACGAATACAATTAATAATAATCGACTAACACAATATGATGTGAAATATAATTATTTGCAATTTTTTTTTTTTTTGGAGGGGGTTAAGAAATGATTTTCTTTTTTATAAAACACCGAAACGTCCACAAATGTTGATCACAATCAAAAAAAATGTTTTTGATGAAACTATTAAATTTTACATACCAACAGCTGGACTGGGTGGTTGCTTAGATTTTGATGAATCGCCTCCTTCGCTTAAAGTCATTACGACTGGCGGTAGAACCACAATTTGATTCCATGGTACAAAGACTGTTCGCGTGAGAGGCCTGAAAGGACTTCGTTGAAATTGAAGAGTCACTGCACCTCCGCCATTAACGAGAACGTCGAACCTGTTTCGAATCAAATTATTATCATTTGAATACAATTGCACAATTTTGTATGCAATTTTAAAATTTTATTCTTTACATTTAATTTTTCTTTTCACATCGAGTTTTAAAGGATAAAAACAAAATTACAGATAATAATAATAATAATTAATCTCTTATAATTGACTCTTGGAAATTTGTCCGACTGTTATTGGATTTATATAATGTTAATAATTTACGAGATGATAGTGACGTGCAAAGAAAGATTAAAATTACTCTCCCTCTGATATAATGTCTCTATAATGTCATTGGAAAAGTTGAAATTATCACTGGATCAATATATAAGAATATTGGTCTATTAATTATTAGTAATTTCTCTGCTTTCTAAATTAAACTCGTTCTTTTACCTCTCGATTTATTATCATTTTTATAAAATTCTTTACATCATTTTATTAAATTCATATATGTTTTATTACTCTCTGATATTAATTAATTAATGAACAAAAAAAAAGCGTGATAAAAAACTATGAGAATTTAATAGATGAGTTTTAAAAATAAATTATTATGAAATTTTTTTAAATTAATTAAAATTCAAAAAATATCTCCTATAGAATTACATTTGACAAAATTAATTAATAAACTATATTAGGTATATATATTATTAAATTAAATTTATATAAATTATGAAATTCTAAATGAAAAACCATTAATGTAACTTGTTAATTAGTGGAATAAATAATGTGGCTTTTGTGAATATTGTCCTTTAGTAAAATTTTATCGCTATCATTCATTTTCCTAATGGACTTTAAAGCTGTTTAATTTCATTATGGCTAATATTACTTTAGCAATATGAATTAATCCGAATATTTTCCCTCGTGTGTAATTATAACAATTTTTTGTTTTTATGTTTCTAATCGACATGTAAATTTAGAAAAAGATAAAAATATTTGCTTACCATCCACCAGCTCTGGTTAAAGTGAATCCAAATCGTGAGTCTTTGTCAACAGAGACACGAATGCCTACAATTCCAAGTCCTTGTTCCGTAACAACCTGGCCTCGCATAACTGCCACTCGGCTGTTATATAAATTCAAAAAATGATGATCTTTTCCATACTTAATATATATTTTTCAGGGATTCACTTTTGTGTTACCAAGGCGTAGCTGATTTGATTCACAATTTTTATTACTGTTATTATTATTATTATTATTATTACTACCAAAAATTAATCGATTTAATAAAATATCACTCTTTTTTTAAATACAATATTTTTTAAATCCGAATATTTGAATTTTCCCGCCAACGAATCAAAAACTGAACAATATTCAAAAAGCTGCTACCCAACCCTGATATTATCTTATTTTTTCCCGCATTTTTTTCCTAAACAATCGAATAAACTAATTATTGAAAAATTGTCGGGAAAGAAAAAATTTCCTTTTTTTTATATTAATAAGATTACATGAAAAATTTTCATTTTACAAGCATCATAATTTTGAACGCGTTTGTGTTCGTTAAAAGATGCATCAACACAACGGAGGTTCATCGAATCAGCTACACCGTTTGGCGAACGGTTCAGTGCGTTTCAATATTCGCACTTGGCTGCCAATACAATTCGCAATTCAATTTGCGTGCCATTCTAGTCTCGATACAAAGTAGTTACCGCTGCCAATAACCGAATCGAGTAGGTCCGGAACAATGTGGATCCACTTCACAAGGTTTTGCCCGATAAGCATTAAAAGGCCAGACTTTGCGAATCAAGAGGTCGTTTTATTTGCAATTTAAAAAAAAAAGGAAGGAAAAAAAAATTTGATAAAAGCGGATTTGACAGGCGACCTTATTGCGTTTCATGCTTTGTACCTTAACTTGTAACACTGTTAGAAATATCTTTTTTTTTTTCATTTGCAGTTTGTTTGTCACTTTATACAAAGCGGAAGTTAATTTGATATTCGCGATACTATTTGAAAAGTGAGTAAAAAGTTAATTACACTTTATGAATTGAAATTTTTTTTTAAAGTCGATTTTTCTTTTTATATTTATTTTGTTTACTATTATTTTTAAATTGTTTATTAATTATTATTTAATAATAATTATTTATTAATAGTTATTATATTAATAATAAATAGAAAATATTTTAAATAAATAATAAAAAAATGTTTAGTAAAAGATAAAAATAATATTTGTGATATAAAAATGTAGTTAAATAACGGATGAGATGATTTGGAATAATAATTCTCGTATTGTGGTGAGAACTTTGCATTTTGTCGATATATTGAGAGAGATTGTAAAACTTGATTCGCTGATTCTAATAGGAAACTCATTGTGCCATTAGAATGAGCCAATCAAATTTTACAATCATTCGATACTATCGAACAAGAGAATGGCAGTGTAGGGAATATTATGCTCCGTTCATAAGGCACGAATTATTTGATAGTATCGAATGTAATTTTCATTGATTGATTTTAAAATTACAAATATATTTTTCTAAAATGTTTCTACATGAATGTAATTGTTTTGCCAAGGTTGGGTAGGTCTATAATATATTAAACTTATCCATCCCTGTTTTACAAAAAAATGTTTAAATAATTTCTTTTAAATCTCAAAAATTTTTATTCTGTAATCTACAAACTATTGACAATTCTAATTTTAAAAAAAGACTATACTCGACAAGATTAATATTCTTTTTTTTAAAATATTAATTTACGACTTGATTGTTAGAAACTGCCGGCGAAGGAAATAATAATAAAAAAAAAAAGTTCAGTTATTCTTGCAACTCGACGTTAGTTTTGTTATTTTAAAAACTCGAGAGATTTGAAAATTTGAGAGAATATTTTCCTTTCAGAGAACGATCTCTGGGGAATATTTTTCATGAGAGACTACACTCGAGTTTTGCGCTCTCGGGAAGAGAAAACCTGACTTTTCAACATAGCAAGCAGTGTTGCCAACTCGAGACCGCGATTTTGCGGTGTACTCCAAGGTTGGGAATGTATAATACACCATCTCTAGATAATATATGTAGTTATCTAACAACACGAGTATTTTACGACAAAAAAAAAAATAAAAGAATTTAGTAAATTTATGTGGTCAGGTAAAAATGAACTTTTTTTTTGTTACAAAACGAATGTTTTTTGTCGATAAAATTACCAGCCAATCAGAAGTGTGTATTTTAAATTTTGTTAATTATTTTTTCAGGGTACCGATGCTTACTCTGTGTAAATTAGCACAATAGAGTGGAATTGAGAATAAAGTATCACAATCAATTGCGGGGCTTATAGAGTCAGTATTTATTTAATCATTTGTTTGAATAAGAGTGCTTAATATTCCTGTTGTCACTTGTTTGGAATAAAATTCATTGAACCGGAAATTTTTCTTTACTGGAGAAAATGAGTTCTGATTGGTTGGTAAATTAAACTTTTTTTTTATGCTTCCTTGTTTTTCCTAGTAGTTTTTCTAAATATTTTTGGTGGGGTATGAACGTAGCTTAAGTATAATGACTGGAAAGTTACCAAAGTTATTTTCGATCAACTATTGCACCCTGCTCTAGTGAAAATTTAGTGACTATAGTAACTTAATTTTAACTAGAATGTCACTAAATTGTCGCTAGAGCAGAGTGCGGTAGTTCATCGAGAATTGTGACAAATTGGAACTTTGGCCAGTGGGCATCTTCCCGAGTTTTTATCGTCTGACAGGGATGGATAGGTTTAAAATATTTTGAACTTATCCATCCTTGTTTCCCATTTCTGGTCAGTCCAGAGATGGGAAGCTTTCATTTCTATTGTATAGAAAAGCAGAATATGAACGCAGCTTTAGGTTCTAGTAACTAATTACTATCATTTCAGGGATGGTTAAGTTTAATATAACATTATTTATCTCATTGCAAAATTACAGCCAGGGATGGATAGGTATTTAATCTAGTTATTTTTTTCACCCACTTTAAGCTTTTTTTATGAAATTTTTCTCGATTATTACATAACACTATTAAAGAAAAGTGTTAATATTTCAAAAAAGTGCAACATTTTTTTAACAAAGAAATTTCTAACAGTGCTGATCGATTTATTCAAGAGATGACGCTCTTTTCGCATTTCGGGACAAATGGCAGCCAGGATTGATTTTTTGATACACATTGAACCACATACTGTGGATAAACCTAGGTCAAAGATCATATAAAATGGAATTTCATGCACTTATAAAATATCATTAGGATTTGTAATGTATAGACGTAAATGATGTACAATAAAATTAAGGATTGATAAATGTAGGTAATTTTTTTTTTTTTTTTTTTTCTTTTTGGCAATAAGTCGAAATATTATCAAGCTGATATAATGTTAAAGCAGTCACGTGTGTATATGTGCTGAATATAATGAAATCAATAGGTACCAGGTATATAAACTGTGTAACACAGTTTATTATTATTATTATATATATACATTCGAGAGAAGGGGGGGGGGGGGGTGATTTGCCGGGGATGTAGATTCGCGCGCGCGTGCGTATTGTATATCTGCAATTGTGTATGTGCCAGTGTATCAAGTGCGCGCATGTGTGACATATACTATATATATGTATATATATGTGTGTGGGTTTGAGGCGACAGATATTAAGGCCTTTCTCCAATAGGAACCTAAACTTTTGCGTTGCGTGACTGACGCGTTGATTTTAGCATTGGTTGCCAATAGCAACCGACGCAATGCATACGCAACGCAAGAGTTTAAGATCCTATTGGAGAAAGGCCTTTACTCAGTCCCTAAGGAACTGCATAGGGGAAATCATATTGGTCCTTGGAGGATCGTACACGTATCAACTTTCTCACTATCGATCCTGCAACGAATCGATTTGTCCCACTAACACCAACATAACAGGAACAAAAAAAAATAGAAATCCTCAGTAAAAGAAATTATTAAAGATTCTTTCATTTAAATGGTCGAGTCTATAAACTAATTTTTCTTTTTTAATAAAAAAAAACTGAAAATTCTACAATTTTCTTTAGTTTGAAAATTTTATTTTTTCTTTTTAAATTCGCCAGTTTTGCTCGAGAAAAAAAAATTCCCCATAATTCGATATTACTAGATCGTAACTAGAAATTAAAGAAAATAATTATCAAATCATTTTTCTTCTATTTTTCTCTTCCCTTGTTATATCTAATATACGGAATTTTTTTTCCGACTAAAACTGGCGTTTCTTTTTCAATTTTATTTAATTTTACCAGTTTTACATTTTATGAATATTGAAAATAATTCACTAAAAAAAAAAAAACAAGCTGCAGTATAGGAAAGAAAGCCATTTAATAGCGAGTGATTAACCCTTTAATTGCCAATTTATTTTATAGAAAAAAGAAATATATGTTTTATGGAAAATATATTTTTTTTATGGAGTTGTTAAAATTTTAAAGCTTTTTAAAAATTGGGGGCCTTTAAAAATCTTTTTACGGAAAAGTCAATTTTTTTTTCATCCGTAAATAATAATCACTTTTGAAGAAGAAAATAATAGTTTTTTTTGCAAAAATAAAATAAAAATGCAGTAATGTTTTTATATTGGAAAAATGTTTTTCTTTTTTTTTTTTTTAATTAAAACAATTATGTTAACTTTTGAAAATTGACAATTAAAGGGTTATTTCTGAAGCTGTTCTAAAAATTGAAATTTAATTGCAATTCTTCTTTTTCTTTTTTTTAAGCACTTACTTTCAATTTTTCAAATTTATTAAAAGATTGATAATTTAGTTAGACTTACCCTCTATATTTAATATTGAAACTTGATATCAAATATCAGCTCTTGAATAGTTTCTTTTTCTGAGTTTAAAACAAGGCTCTGCCAATATCTTACTTTTCTATTGTTAAATATTATTTTTTTTTTGTTTCGAGTAAATAAATCGTAAATATTGTAATGAGGATAAGAAATTATGTGTACGTTAAATACAGTATTTACGTAACAAACCGTATTTTACGTAACGTACGTTATTTTACATAACAAATCGTATTTTATGTAACCCAAATACGTTACTGTTTAAAACAGTTTAATTATTGAAATTTTCTTCATAATTTCATTATTTTTTTCAATGACTTTCATGTCTTTGATAGAAATTGGATAGTTTTATTTTCGCAATTTGTTTTTGCGAAATTAAAAGAAAAAGAAGAGATTCTAAAGGAATTGGAAATTTTTCAATACATCTTAAAGTGAGTCTTTTTATAGAAAACCTTATTTTCTCTCTTTCTTTCTCTTTAATCTCGAAAACAAAATTTTTTTTTCTTTTTTTTTTAATTATCTACAAGTTGATTTTAATATAGAAAAGTAAGTTAAATGAAAAAAGAAAAAAAGGATGAATTGAAAGAGCCTTGTTGGTATGGAAAATATTTGTTGTGTTATAAAAAGAACATTTTTTTTTTTTTTATTATTCGTTGTTGATGAAGAAACTTGAAAACACGGCCAAGTGCCGATCCTCCAAGAAAGTCTCAGCGATAGGTGGCAGGCACTGTCATCACTACTGTAAATCATGGGAAACCATAATAACGTGATATGACAACATAATACAATTGAAAATACACGGATATCTTCAAGACAGACGCCAAACCTATATAATGATGAATTTAAAGAGGAAAAAAAAAAATAATTAAAAAAAAAATATACAACGAAATAATGAAAATCCGATGTGTTATTTTTTTTTTGGCTCGTAAACGCGTTTATTGTGATTTGAACAGTTGGTGAAATGTTGCTCGATTTTTCTTTTAAATTTTATAAACGATTCAAGTCACGTATTTTTTTTTTTTTTTTTTTGAGGGAAAAAATCCTCAACTTTATGTCGCAAATAAATAAATTTAAAACGAGCATCATTTCAAAAACATAATATATACACGCGAAATAGAAATAAATTCGTTATTGTATTTTTTTTTATTTCTAATATTAATTTTTCATGGCACGAAATATTTTTGACGCTTGTTAAAAATTGATGATTTAGAAACGGCATCGGGTTTAATTTAAGTGGATTACTTTTTTCTTTCTTTCCTTCTTTTCTTTTTTTTTTTTTTTTTGTTTGTTGATACGGTTGGATTGGATAAAGACAGACACAAGGTTTTGGTTTGGATAATTTTTCAAGGACAATTGGTAGATTTTTAAGACGCAGACAAGGGACGTTGGGACGAAGGGTTTCGGGTTCGTTTTATTTTTTATTTCCTCCGCGTTTAATTAACAGTCCGACAAATTTGCCGATTGTTAATTTATTCCTCCCACCCCAGTGGCCCTCTTTGCAAATAAATACAGTACCCGGTCGCGTTATCTTTATTTGCACATGACCCGTGTATAGGCACTTTTGTCAATTAAGAAGATAAAAAAAAAAGAGAGACAAAAACAAATGATCAAGTGTTGATGAATCAGTCGGCGATGTGTGTTTTAGGTTGCCCATCGAAGTCTCATTTTCGATATATAACCTTTGATTTTGTTTACTTTTTTTAAATTTAGAATCTCAATTCAAAAATTTACACTTATAAAAAATTACATAATATACAGTGTTTTACGTAAAAAGTAGTATTTTACGTAATTTACCTATTTACGTAAAGGTATGTTACGTACTGCCTACTTACATAACACCGTATTTTGCGTAAATTTTTGTGTATAATTGTGAAAAAATTTTAACGAATTGAGATCCTATCTTTTTTGTTTTTTTAAAATGTATTTGCGTAACTTTTGTGATAATGGAATAAAATTCTAAAGGTACGATTACAGTTGTGCTTTTATTCGATATATCGAATCTAAAGGTGCATTCACATGTTGTCGTAAAAGAAAAAGTAAAGGAATACCAATCACATTTACGACATGTGAATGGACCTTAAGTTCAGTGTATTTTTTTTGAATAATTATTAGAATTTTATGACACCAACTGTTATCGTATAAAGAATTATTTTTTCAATTTTTTTTTTTTTTTGTAAGAGAGATGATACAGGGATGGGCAAGCTAAGTGTGTGGATGCTAAGGACGTTCACTATAGATATAATTCGACAAGGTACGCATAGTGCAAGCCTGGCAGTAACATAAACAACACAAGACCAATTTTTTAATAATAAAAATACGTTAGCATATAATACTAATACAAGGTCTTTGACGCACTAGAGGACAAGAAATAGACAAGACATAACAGAAAAGAAAAACAACAATCTGACGACATACCACAGATAACACAGAGTAGACAGGTTTTAGTACTGTTTTTGCAGTACATAAATATTTGTATATGGTACGTGGTTTTTGTTCGAAGGACAGTACTGGCATTATGTCTCTAACGTCGAGGCGTACATCCGACGACAATTGGTGATAGGGAAAGAGGAGGTAGAGAAACTTCCCTCCCTCCCCCCTTCCTTCACGTCCCCCCCAAAACGTTGTCACGAAGTATGAACGATCGGACGAGCGTGACAGCTGGGAAAACTAATAGTTACGCTACTATTGCGGGCACGAGCAGAGAACAACGACGCGGACTACGTGACGTGAGTGTATGCATTGAACACGTAGAAAATGTCAACTTCAAGTTATTCCTTCGACCGTTTAGCTTCAGCCTTCTGGAAATTCCGGGATTCAAAATCGATTTTTAGAATATACCCAAGTTGGACAATTTCCCATCCCTGGTCTCTAGTTACATTTTTTTTAATGTACAGATTTTGTTATTGAATTTTTTTTCATGCCAAATTTAAATTCTTCTTGGAATATTTTTAGTTCTATTTATTTTTCTTTCCAAACTAAATCGAATTGTGAACTCACCTTAAAGTATAAAATATCGATATCTAGGTGAATTTCTAGCAATATTTGAATACATTGTTTCTGATTGGTTCGTAATATTTCCATAAATGACCAGCCAATCAGAATTCTTTATCAAAAATGTTACCCATCTCATGAAATCGTAATTTTATGCTCTATTGTTTTCTTCCAGGGAAAAAGAATTTCATGAAAGAAGAAACTCATTAAAATTCTGTTTTGGTAAGTTTATAAAAAATTTTTTTTTCAAAAATAGTTAATTAAACTACCATATTTTTATTAAGATGGAATGTTTAACATTTAACCAAACAGAATGGGATGATAAAAAAAAATTGTAACATAACCAATAAACATTTTTTGTTTTAATTATTAATGCTCTCTTTCTTTAAGGAGAAAAGAACTTTGGTAAAAAGTTTAAAGTAATAAAAGTTGGGAAATTATAGGTTAGAAAAACTTGGGAAAGGAAATTTTTGTTTCAACTCCCCTTTCCCTTTTTTTACCAAAAGAGTAAGTTTCAAATGAGATAAATTTTGGGTAAATCAAGTGCAACTATTTGGCTCGGGAGAAATTTCGTTATTGGTCGTCGAGAAGGAAGGAAAAAATTTGCAATTCGAAAAACTTGTGAGGCAGTGCCAAGCTTCTTTTGTCATCCGGAATTTCCATAGCGCTTACGGAGTCGAATATTCAGAATGTCGACCTAATTTTCGACATTTGAAAGTTCGCTGGCTAATTTCGGGACCAAGTTTGGTCAACGTTAACCAAACATCTTTTCTCTTTACTTAGGACTCTGCTTGTACCCGCGTACAAACGTTACATTAATATTAAAAATGAAAACTAATCATAAAATGCAGCGTTCCCTTTTATAAAAAAAATTCCCCGCATTAATTAAATTTTCTTTTTTTCTTATAAATCTTAATATAGTCTTTGTACTATTTTATTATTCATATGAATCAAAAAAAAATTGGAAACCAAGTCTCGATTTTTTTTTTAAAAAAGGAAAATTTTTTTCTAATCTTTATCTTTTTTTTTCTTTTTAAGGAATCTAAAAAGGGACGCTGCAAAAGAAACAATTTTTTTTGTCGAAGACAGAGTACGACTTGACGCAAGACAAGTTCACACAGCACTGGGATAAAGGTATTTATATGAAAAGCAATAAACAGTGTGATAAGAATAGTAACAAAAGGAAAGTGTATTACGAGAAACAAGCGGAGACGATTTTTAAAAACAGCAACGCAAAAGAAGATTTTGAATTTTTGTTTTTTTAGACGAACAACAACAAAAAGATTTATATATATAAAGAAAAAGAATTGTGTCATTTTGTACATTTAAGATAACAAAAAAATAAAAAAATATTCACTTATCAGCAAGAATAAAAGTAAAATAAAGGCGGAACAGGCTAATAAATTGAGGGAGCTCATACGAAATAAAAAACAAAAAAAAAATACATGTAAAGATGATATAATGAAACGAGCGACGAGCATTAAGATGGTTGGACATGAACGATTTAGCGAGAGCTGAGCTGCAACTTACCGCGGTGTAAAGGAACTCCAGAACGCACTACGTGTGGGAAAAAACCAACGAGAAGAAAGGGCGTTACCACACGGTCACAAGAACCCACGTTTTGCGGTCAATACGCAGCATCGCAATTTGCGATTTTAATCCCCCCTCCATATTTTTGAAAAAAAAGAAATTCCCATGGGTATTTTTAATTTTTCTAACTTCATTTATTTTTCAAAATAAGATTTTCCCCTTATTCGTTTTCCTCTTCTTTTTTTTATTGTCATGATTTTTTTCCCCGTCCCTTGATAATAAAAAGAGAAAAATGAATCTTAAATGGCACTTTTTTGCGCATGGGATTATTTTTTTTTTTCTACATGGGGGGTTGATACGAATTGGATCAGGGTCTTACCCTCTTTTTTTTAGGGTTTTCTTGTAACAATCGAATTAATTTTCCAACACTATATAGGAAATGTTAATTTTCCAGTAGCGGAAACGAGTAAGCGAACGCTCCTTGCAATGCTGCGTATTGCCATTTTACAGAAACAATAGACGTAGACACACACTAATCAAGCTCACCCAACGGACACGCGATCGTTTCAGCCACGCACATGAACTCAATCACTCTCAGACTCATTCAACATAGAGTGGTATAAAAAACATATGACGGACACAAGTTGGAAACTACGTAACAAAAACACATTTATATATAATTATAGTGACACTTGATAACAGTTTGACGATTATTTCTCCTAGTCCTTCATTTTCACTATTTATTTTTTTTTTATGAAATCGATGTCTTAAAGTATCTCTCGTATCCATCAGCTTTTTAATCTTCCACATATGTGCTTACACAAAAGTGCTTTTGAAGTACTTGGAATGAAAAAAAAAAAATTCTCCTCGGTGAAAAACGACAAAAAAAGCGGTGTTATTCTCTCACAATTTCAAACTTGTGTCTACCATATTGATGGAACTATTTTTGATCGTCGGATCGAGACGTTCTTATATATATATTGTCTTTGTGTTCTAGGTGATAAAGTGACTCTTTGCCCAGAATTCTTATTGGGCGTCCCGATCCGACGTCTTTTTATATTCTAAACACGTTTTTTTTTATAAGACATATAAACGTTTTTTTTAGACACGTTTCTTTTATAGACTTTTTTTCTGAAAATACGTTTTCTTCAATATAAAAAAAAGTTTTACCATGAATTTCGTTTTATTTCGAATTTTTTTTTTTTTTTGACAATCGCGATTGATTGGATACGCGGCGGCAAATCAAATATAAGAAAAATGAGAAACACAAAAACAAAAGTATATAAAATACGTGAAAGCAAACAACACTGAAATAAAATTATTCACCCGCAAACGACACTATGTTGTTAGTCGTGAATTTTGAATTTTGGCCGCATTTGGGCTTGGGTTTTTTTTCTCATTTTTTTTTTTTTTTTTTTTTTTTTTTTTTTTTTTTTTGAAGGGGGTGGTTTTGGTAGGGTTTACACACAAAAGGAGCAACACTAGACAACGTACACGAACCCCTCGAATACCAGTCGCACCACGAAATTGTAAATATGTATTCACCTCGCATCACTCTCGGAAAAATGAACTCCATCCTTCTTTGCATGATTGGGGGGAATTTCTTGAATGTTATTTAACTTTGATATTAGTTACTAAAAAATATTTTACTTTCTGTTACAGGTGAAAGGACTATTTGCAAAAATCCACTATTTGGAAAGTTTTTCATACTAAATGATGAATAATTTTTATGCTTCCTGCAATGATTATTATTACCTGTAGTACGGTAATTAAAAATTCTAAGGATCCAATGTTTGGAAGTGTTTTCATACTAGATAATGAATAATTTTTATTAGTGTCGAAATATTTGGGAAGTCGACAACTACATAATCCAATTTATATGGAAGTTTTTCATACTAGATGATGAATAATTTTTTTGCTGCCTGCAATTTTTATCATTGCAGTATGAAAGTTGAAAACTACAAGAATCCAGGGTTGGAAGTTTTTCATACTAGATAATGAATAATTTTTTATTCGGCCGAAAATTCATTTTTAGAAAGTTTTTTATACTAGATTATTTTTAATTAGAAAAAAGCTTCTGACATTTTTTTAATTTTTAGACGGTATAACAATTTTCGGTTCTTTGACAATAAATTGTAGTTTTTTTTTTAAAGATTCCGATACAAATATAGTAAAAAATTAATCAGGATAATGTCGATATCTAGGTCATCGTTTGAAACTATATAGAATTTTGAATGAGAACTCGGTCGATTAGTATATTCTGGTTTTCAGTTGATCGAGAAGCGGAACGTCTACTTTGTGTTCAAAGTTTCATTGAACGTTGGAAAATGAGCGCCCGTCATGAACTTTGTAACCGTCACATTAACGGGCAACATATACATATATAGCCGGGAGGAATCTAAGTAGAAGTAAAGCAATGACAAGGTCCTTTGATCGTCAGTGCTTCCGAGGTGATCGTCGGTGCTCCTGGCATTTGAGGGAGGGAATTGGGGTTAGGGGCGGGGGTGGTTTGATACACGAGGAAAGGGATGGTCCAAAGGTGACAGAATCGACATCCCCCACCCACAAAAAAGAGGTGGATGGGTGAAGTTTTCTCCTCCGACAACAACACGGTTCTCTGCACCGATGCAACTTGGGTGGCCCGTTCTTACCGAGTACAATTGATCGAAACAAATATTCTTGACAATCGATACGCTCTCTCACAACAGGGGAATACATTTGTCGAGTTGGAAAGTACAAAGTTGGAATTTTTTCTTTTTTTTTTTTGTTTTATTTCTTCTTTTTCAAAAGAAAGATTATATTGCCCGTGGCATTGGCCGTTCGGATTATCAAAGAGGGATTCCGGTTTGTCAAGTCTCTCGAAAAAGCGTCTCAAGATTTTTTTTTTATATCAAATTGGAATTTCAATGTTTTGAGTTAACACAAAGGGAATCGAATTTTTGCGCAAGAGTTAGAGAATTAGCTTTGCAAGTGGAGAAGGTATAAAGAGAGAGAGAAAAAGGAGATGGTATTTGATGATGAAAAAGAGGAACTTTTTATTTAAATTCAAGACGGGAGGGCTCTTATAGAAAAAGGAATTATTTTATTCAACTACATGGACATTGCATTTGAAAATGATTCACAAGCGAGTAGTAAAAAAAAATTTTTTAAATAAAAAACAGATAGTTTTTTTTTAGCAAAATTGTAATTAGGATCAATTCCCCTATTGTGAGTTTTTTTTTGCGTACGATCAAGTTTGCCAATTAGTACTTTCGATATAGCCATGCACCAATTAAATATCATGGTTTCATCAATAAGCGACGTTATCAAATACGAGCGACGATTTTCAACGATTTTAATTTTTATTATCCAGTAACCGTTCGAGGCATGCTTTTTAAATTTTTAAGAGAAAAAAAAGACAACTAAACGCGTGTCATGCCAAAATAGTAACGAAACCGTATCCGAATTTTTTACCAGTTCTTTTTTTTTCATTTTTGTTGGTCACTGAAATCTTTACCGAACTCTATACTCATCAGACGCTTGGGTTTCAATCGAGTTCCAAATTTTTTTTTTTTAATTGACTAAGAAAAAGTATCTCGAAAAATGTATTCTTAAATTATTGAATTATAAGTGGAGTTTAATTGAAACTGAAGCGTCTGACGAGGCAGATGGTAATCAATATTGATTAGTCACTGCAATTTTCTATTTTTTAAAATATCACGGTGTCTGTCTTTAAACGTATCCTAAAAACAAAACCTACCTTTCACCGTACTCGTCCGTGTGTGCGTAACTCTGTACGCTGTTCTCTTCGATTAGAAATTTGACGCGTTGATAAAAGGATGCAGTTACACTTGGTGGCTGCTTTCGGAGAAGAACCTCAACAGGATCATTGCTGGCAAGGCACATTATGTGATCAGCGCACGCTTCATGTGAACAGCACTCACTATCCGAACAGTCGATCATTCCATCTGGAGGATCGTCATTTATTAACAAAAAAAAAAAAGAATTATTATTTAATAATCTCCATTAAGATTTTTTTTGTTTTCATTTTTAAGTAGTTTTATATACAATACTTTATATTTCTTTATGATGAAAATTTAAATATTTCCGGGATTATCTTTCATGGATAAAGGAAAAAATGGATATCAAATAAAGAAGTATATTTATCTTCTTTGGCAAAATAAAGAGAGCCGAGAGATCATTAAAATTTTCAATTATCCTTTGACATTTTTCTTCCTATCGAATTACTCAATCGTTATTGGAAATTCTCAAAGCCCTTATGAGATATATATATAGTCTCGTCGCGAATATAATCTTTGCTTCGAATATGAAATCAAAAGAAATTTCAACTTTCACGAAACAATCGAGAAATTGCTATTATTATCATCAAATTCAGGAAATATTTTTTTTTACAATGAATTTTCAAGGGAAAAAAAACAACTTACCCTTGTCGTTATCAATCTCATCTTTACATTCCATCTCGAGGGGGATACTGCAATCCCTGCCAGCCCAACCGGTTGCACAATCACAGCTGTATTCACCATCAAGGAGACTGCACAACCCATGCCGGCTGCACGATTTCTCACAACCAGCTAAATGGAAATACACATTTTTTATTGGTTCCTAAAATTTTTCTTTCATTATTTAATACTCACGCAATGTACAATGTTTTCCATTCCAACCCTGACTACATACGCATGTACCATTTTTACATTGTCCATGCTCTGCACATCTTGGATCACAAGGTTTCTGATCACATTTCGCTCCCGTCCAATCGTCGTGACATCTGGGAAAAGATTTTTATTTTCTTTACATTCTGATCATAATGAGGTCTTCAATGTTAAGAGTATTTATTTCATGCAAAGGTACAAGATAGGATCAAGTGATATAAGGGAGAGATTATCTGTTTTTTTTTTTTTTTTTGGTCAATTGCAAGCTGTGTACACTGACTTGCAAACACCCTGCTTGCAGGTTCCATGTGGTCCGCAATCGAGTCCACAGCTCGGTTGTGAGCAATCGATTCCAGTCCAATGCTCCTCGCAGATGCAAGCGGCCGATTCCAAATCGTAAGTACCATGTTCGGAGCAGCCTGGCAAACATTGATAGACTCTTTGGTCCACCTGGTTACACCTTTCGCCTTGCCAACCGGCCTTGCAATAGCATTTGCCTGCGACGCAGGCGCCATGTCCACTGCAGCTGGGATCCGGACAGTCAGCTGCAATCCCCAATTTCCAATTACTTTCTCGATACTTTCGCAATTCGGTTGACGAAACTTTAATGATAACTGTAAAACTTTGCTTCTCCACCTCCCCTTCGCCCACCCCCTGTCCCGTCTGGCAATTCCTAACCGAATACTGATTGCAAAGGGGTCGCGCGCCGATGAATGGATCAACTTTTTAAATTATGGATCAGAACAATTCCATTATTTTCTGGAATTTCGCGCGAGACAGAGAGAGAGAGAGAGGGAATCACCGAGGGATTTCAAGTTATTTAAGAAGACGTTTCTGTTTTGATTGTCTCCATCTCTCTTTCTCTTTTATCGAAAAGTTACGAAATCTGGTTTTTAATTTAAAAAAATTCGATAAAAAATATATCGCCCTTAAAATCAGTGCAAAAAGAGAGTTATTTTACGATAGGGAAAAATAAATAGATAGATAAAATCATGACTTACGTTCGGAACAAAAGGGTCCTTTCCATCCAGAATTGCAGATGCATGAACCTCGTACGCACTGGCCATGTTGGTTGCAATCGGGAACTTGGCAATCCCCAATGGGTATATCACACTCGGCACCCTTCCAACCGTCCTCACAGTGACAGACGCCACCTCCATATTGCCCATGCGACGAACATAAAACTGGGCAAACGCTTTTGCTGCAGTCAGCGCCCTTAAAATGCATAAAACAAAAACTTGTTTGGTCTTCACTTTTTCATAAAAATCACCAAATTATTTGATTCATTAAATATATTGGCTCATCATTTAAAAAAAAAATGTTGAAAGAAAAACTGCTTTTTAAAATTGTTTCCTTAATTACTAAAACGACTTTGCTGTACCAGTAATTAAAACTGTAAACGTGACTTATTTTCAATTGATGCGCGCGAGAAGTTACAAAAAAGGATTTAAATGAGACTGGAGGGATACTGTGTGTGTTTTATATTTTTTTTTTTTATAAAAGCAGAATTCATATTGAAGTTAAGATTTTGAAACTTCATCTACCAGTGACCCAATTTAACCAACTGCTCTCCTTATTTATAAGGAATTAGTCTGGAAAGTAATTGCTCTTTAATGACGCATTGCAGTGCTACGCGACGTTCCTCCAAATCCCATCCGTGCAGATAATCCTGCAGCGTGTCCTGACCCTGCAGATAATCCTACAACCACCCTCTCCATAGTTTGGGGTTCTCGCTATACAGAAAGATGGTTGATCTATCTATATCTATATGTGTACATAGATGTACAGATATAGATATATATATATATAGCTCTCAAGATAATCGCATCATTTTTCCTTCAGTCAACAAAGACAATTCCAACAACTTCGCTCTATACTATTTTATAAACTGTCTATTTTGATAATCCACGAGAATTATGGCTAAGAAGAATTTTGTCTCACAATATATCCTCTTAAATAGGATTTATAATCAACTATATAGAATTCATAAATATAGATATGGTGGACAAAATGTTAGAATTAAAATATTATAATACATTAAATTATTAAAAAAAAATAATTTTTCTATATTAAAATTTTAAGTAGTGTTCTTTTTTTCTGTTCTAGGTGAATCTTGAAGTTCATATTTGGAGTTTTCAAGCAAAAACGTAAGATCCTATTTTTGGAAGTATTTTCATACTAGATGATGAATAATTTTTACTAGGCATAAATATATGCCAATTAGAAGACTGTAAAGTTCCGATTTTTGGAAAGTGTTTCATACTAGAAGATGAATAATTTTTTTTTAGGCCTTACTATATTTACTAAACCGAAGGCTATAAAGTACATTGGCTTAAAAATATATAAAATTTCGAACGGTTAATTAATTTTTTTTTTCATCATTTTTCCAATTTTAGAGTTAAATATTTTTATTAGAGACAATATAAGAAAATATTAATACATAGGAACATTAATTGAAAACTCGCTTCACAAATATTTGCTTTTTCAATTAAAAGAAAAAAATTTACGAAACCTTTTATTGAACTCGAATTTTTAAAAATTCATCAAAATATCGAAAGTACCTCTATTTAAAAAAAAATATATATTTTACCAATCAGGAAATATTTCTTTCATCTGTTATTTTAAAAAGTACATTTGTACCTATATTACAAAAAATATCACTATTACTTTTTTTTAATAATCGATCATAGTCTCTAAAATTTAGGTCAAAGGTTAAGGGACAAAGTTCACTGTAGAAGTATTGGGTTAGGTCGAAGATTAAGGGACTAACTTAAGATAGGTCAAAAGGTTAAGATTACCTTCAAAGTTAGGTTAGATTTAACGTTCGGTTACGCAAAATGTTTCTTACCTGATATCCGTCGATGCAGTCGCATTTGCCCAGATAACATGAGCCTCTTCCGGAACAGTCGTTTAAACAAGTTGTTGATACTCCTTCTGCCTCGGTAACAATTAGCGTGACTTTGTAAGGTTGTAATTCATCATTGTAAACCGAAAGGAACCATCTACCAGTATCTAAATACTGTAAGAGACTAACGTTAACCAACATTGACTCTAAAGTGTTTCTTTTGATCAAATGATGTTTCGAGTTCTCATCATCGTCATCATCATTCTTTGAATGCAATCTTTCGTGTTTTGTAGGATGACTGTAAATGCTGACATCAGATGTGGTGATATGCCTCTTGAGACGATGATCGACTCTTCCACCTTTGACAAATTCAACAAAATCATATTGCATAACGCTCGGTGCAACATTTCGTCTTCCATAAACAGCAAAGTTTGCACCCCACGGTAATGTTAAATTGAGTCGTATAAAAGCAGGCTGTTTGTTCAAGAATTCGGTATTCCAAAAATTGTACGGTGGTATCATGGCAGAATGAGCCACATTATAAGCTTGCAATTCCAAAACCGCTGGCCATTGTTGCGCCGATTGTTGAATTTGCGGATCACTTTGTTGTTGCTCGCCAGTATTCTCCGATGCACTTGAATGTTCCGCTGTACTTGTTGGTAAACTCTCTGAAATAAAAGAAATTTTCTATTGAAGACAAATCTTTTCCAAGCAAATTAGTAGCCACTTTATTCTATTATATACCTTCCGTTGGAACCTGCGTTGATATCGAATCATGAACGTGTGAATTTTCATGGGTAACAGCCTTTATATCTTGAACTAAAATACAATTGGTGCTATCCATTGGCCGCATTGAACTCACAGCTGAAAATAAAAAAATATTTTAATTGAAAAGTTTTCCAAAAAATTAAAAACATGATTCATTCTATTTTAATGAATGTGTCATTAATGAGACAGTAATTAGAGTTTTGAAGATTTAGTATTAGTATTTGCAAAAGTGTATGGGTATTGGATTCAGATTTATTGGGATCACTAATTGCATTCGGTTCGTGGAATACTATTCCCGTAAAGAACGCGAGAATTTTCTTTTTTTTTTTTTTATTTTCCAACTCTCGCCTTGTTCATTACAACATAAGAGGAAGTTAAAAAGTGACTGAATTAGGGAAGGAGAGAAACGGAGCGAGATAAGCGAACTAAATTGCCCGATGAAGCCAGAAATCATCGTGTATAACGATGAATCCCAACGAGAATCCAGTTGAGAATTGTAATCCCTCTCTTTTGCCTTTTTGACCCCGAAATCCGATGAACGTAAAATCCTTAGAATTTCCCAGAGTCGATGCAATGTTTGGAAACTAATGCGACCAAGAAAATAGGTTAATGGTTATCGAGGACATTTTCTGTGCCTATATAACCCATCAGGAACCAAATTCGACACATTTGAATTTTCGTAGATCTTTTTAATAATAATAATAATTTGAGGGTGAAAATAGGACAAACTGAAATCTCATTAAGGACTTGATTTTAATGAACTTTCTTCGAAAGATCATATATATTAAATTCAAATTATTACTGTCGCAATACGCAATTGATTTAATTCATACTCGATTTCGTTTAACAAGCTGATATTGATACAATTTTTTTCATGTTTCAGATACTTTTAAAAAACTCCATCGTCCTTCAGACAATTTTTGGAAGATTTTTCATACTAGATAATGAATAATTTTTTATTGGGCATTAATATTTGCTAATTCAATGACCATTTTCCGATTTTTGGAAGTTATTTCATACTAGATAATGAATAATTTTTTTTGCTGTCTGCAAAACTTTTTTTCAATTGCATATTAAAATTTTAATACTAAAATGCTTTTAAAATTGTTTTTATTTTAAAATTCTGTTCAAAATTCTTTTTCTCTTATTAGTAAAGGAAAACTTAATTTGCCGCAAGGGTCAAGTTTTATATTGAAATGGATTCAACAACGGGTTATTTGATAAAAAAAGAAAGAAGTGTAGACTAAATGTAAATAATTCCAACATCACTTTTTAACTTCTAGGGTGAGATTTTTTCACCCCCCACCCTCTCTCTCTCATTCTCTCTCTCTCTTTTTCTTTCTATTTAACTTTCATTATTTCGGTAACTTGGAGAAATTCAACACTAAGCATCGAATCTCTTGGGTGCTTTGTGTTAACAGAAGCGTAATTTTATGGTGATTCAACAACCTCAGAGGTAATTCAACTCTCTGCATTTACGCGCATAGCACTGAATTGACCATTACGCTTTTGTGGAGGGACGAGGATTTTGTTCTCTATACGCAACTTCGAACATTATATATATATATATATATATATACATATAAAACTATTGTTGAAATTGAGTTCCAGTGAACTGTGAATGACCTTATTTCATGATCGCGCAGAACCCATTTCCCCTATAGTGTGTAGAAGCTGCGCATCCTGTCGCGCAACGCGTATACCAGGTCACCCGAAATTCAATGTATATATATATATATAGATAGTACGGTCAGGTTTCTGTAGAAATTGTGGAAACTCAATAACTTAATGATATCCGAGCCAACAAATCAAAATTATTACAGTCCTTTCAACGAAAACGCTTTCAACAAAATAGAATGATTGATTAGTTTTTCTCTGTATATAACATTTAAATATTGTTCCCATATAAATTTTTATATATATATTTATATAAAATTTACCCCCTTACGAATTGCTCTTTTATATATAAAATTTTTTAAAAAAAAGATAGAAATAAATAAACTTTCTAGGTACTTTAAAAAAAAAGTTGTCAAATTCTTCAGATATGTATATATGAATCGCTAAAAATCTTTTGTAGTACTAGTTCGAAAATCTTTTGCTTCTAAAACTTCCATGACTTGAGGCTACACTTTCTCGAATTTCCTAAATATTCCAAAGCTTCGAGTTTAGAGTAGTATTCATGAAAAATTGTATGCGATCATTTTTTTTTTTTCAAAACTATTTTTTGAGAATTTCATTGGAATTGTTGAAACTTTATTTTTATTTATTTATTTTCTCAAAAGTGAAAACTCATTTATAGGGATTTTGTTGAGAAACTTGAAAACTTTTTTTTATGTATATATTATATTGAAAAAAAAAATATAAAGTTAGTTTACCGGCAAAGTATGCGAGCATGGCAACGAGAGCAACGGTGAGAAGAATCAAGGCAATGGAGAAGCATTTCCACGAGCATCTGTGTTGACACCTCTTGTCAATATGAAATCGTGATGGTGAATAGGGAGAGTAATGAGGTACCGCTGCTGCTCGTAGTGGAAATCCCGGCATTACCAAGGGTTGACCTTGGGCCCCTGTTGTGCCATTTCCACCGTTGCCCACTCCAGTTCCCATTCCACCTCCTAGAGAACCGACAGGAACTTGTTGTTGAGGTGGCGGTAATCTGTAAACATAAAAAAATTCAGAGATTAGAAAAAAAAGTCGCAAAAATTGATTTAAATATAATCGAAATGAGTATTTATTTCAGAAACGGAGAGAGACGTGAATGAATGGTTAACTCGTGACATGAAATGTAAATGCAAATTAGAAAATTTATCACCGGGGAATGCTTTAAATTAAATAAACCGTACAATGTTCTGTTACTGGATATTTAATGAGAATAATAAGATTAATGATATCGAACATTACTTCGTGATAAAACTGACAACGAATGGAGATTTTGCTATATAATATTATATATGATAAACAAATGAGATTAATTAAAGATATTTAGTGTTTAATTGATTATACCGGATGTTCTAATTAAGCAAATATAATTTTCAATTTAACGAAAATAGAACATTTATATACGATATAATTATATTTTATTATCAAAATTTATTTATATCAAGTATTTGACAGTTGTGAGAGGAATGTGACAACAAAAATTAATATAAAATTATTCATTTGCGTCAATATGTTCACACGCATTTGAGAAGAAGTTGTAACCGTCACCCCTCGTTTATATATCGACATCAGTAAAAAGATAATTGTTGATTGTAGGCCCTGTATATAGAGTCGAGTGTCGTCTGAGTGGAAAATTGGTGAGACTAGTTCTTTCAATGACATGTCACATTCAGATTACCTACATCATGATACATGACTTTATAAACTCAACTTAACAAAAACATCATCTAATCAATGTTTATAGTTCATGAAACTTAGATCAAAATTTAAGTACATAATACTTAAGTATTTGAATAGTAACAATAATATTCTAATATTAATAATAAATATAATATATTATATATTAATAATTAATAATTCTCTAATATTTATAATAATATTCTAAGTTATTTTACTCCCCTAAGAGTATTAAAATAGTTTATCCCATTGGAGTGGGAAAAACTCTTTTACTTTCTATTTGAATAATTTTCAAAAAAAATTTGATATGCAAAGAAAATATATAAAAATTACAAAAATATTTGTGTTTTCGATTGATTAGAGGGAAAACAAATTGTGAAAAAAAGGGAAAAAGTCTCTCAAGAGTGAGTCAGTTATTTCGAAGAAACATTACACACAGTGCAGTCACCCTGCGTTGTTTTATGAGGTAAAAAAAAAAATTTAATATTTGATAACTTGCAACGTCATCGTGAGACTTGTCAATGTACTTATTTTTCTATGACAAAAGAACCGTCTCGTCTTCAATTATAAATGAAATCGATATTTATAACGTTGGTTAAAAAGAATGAGAAGGGAAAAAATTGTTCTTCAAAAAAAAAAAAAATGTGAAGCAGCTGAAAGTGAGTGGTGCAAGTGTTTTTCTTCCTCTCTTTCTCTTTATATATATATATACTCATCTACCATATATATATATATTTTCATGGATATAAAACTGTTCGACATTGATGCTTCGATAATAGGGTTGCGTACACTCAAGCACAAATGGTTATTCGCTTATCGATTTCATATTAGGCCAACAGGAAGCTACTTTCTCCCCCTCGAAGCTTACTAGAAGGCCGGAAATAATTTTTAACGTTAGTGGAGGGCGTGTAATCGTATAATGGAACTAATATTACATTTTTTTTCTTTTTAATAAAAAAAAGATACATTTTAATATGCTCTTTTCAAATAAAACCAAAAATTTCTCTTTATCAAAAATAAAGTGAAATAAAAATATTTTTCATAGTTATATTAAAATTTGTACTTTTTTTTTATTGTTTCAGATGGACAACAAGATGAGAATGTGAAGAACATGAAGATCCGATTTTTGGAAGTATTTTCATACTAGATAATGAATAATTTTAATTGGGCATAAATATATGCCAATTTAAAGTTCCGATTTTTGGAAAGTGTTCCACACTAGAAGATGAATAATTTTTATTGAACATTAATATTTGCCATTGCAAAGACTAAGATCCGAATTTTGAAAGTATTTTTATACCAGATGATGAATAATTCTTTTATAAGTATTAATATTTGACCCCCTTTATATAATCAATTTCTAAAGTAAAATAGTTTAGCGTCTCGAGTCTCCGAGTAAAAAAAATATATAACAACGTTTGAATATCGTCTAAATTGTTTGTTCAGCGGAGAAGATTAACGAGAAGAAATAATGAAAAGAAAACTGCTAAGTTTCCCTATCCTTCCTTCCTTTATATATATTTGCCTATTAACCTTTATCATGAGAGCTGAATTCAAAGGGGGTGACAGTCCCTTATTTCCTGCGCGCATACACTTCAAGGGCTTTACTCCATTTCTTCCCTTGTAAGGTTTTTCCCGTCCCTGTATATACGTTAAAATTGAATTTCTATGAGGACGAAAAGAGTGATTGCCTCTTGTATCATTTGTACGTCATCCATTTAGAACTGTAGGTAGGCTCGCGTTAACAAAAGCACTAAACAAGAGAAATGAAAAAGTTAAAGGCACTTGAAGAAACACGTGCTCAAATATTTTATATATATAAATAATCTTTCCCTTTTTTTTATGAACCTTGCACGTGTGTTTTATGTATTTTTCATTGTCCAGTGAATAGGTGACAGAAGTGAACACTAAATGATAATTTTTTGCGATAGTAAAAAAAAAACCCGTTATTTTAAGTCAATTCCAACAGTGTGAAAATGGTCTCCTAATATGTTCTTTTGTGAATGGAGAGATCGCGCGCGCGAGAAAATGGTTCTAAAAAAAAGAAAAGAGAAAGAATATACGGCAAAAGAATATTCTATCTCGGTTACTATACGTCGTGAATCACTGCAATCAGCGAAATTCGCCTTCTGTCCGTCGTGCTTTGCATTATTCAAACTGAAGCCACGCAATAAAGAACACGAGAGCAAAAAAAGAATATGATTCGTGCAGATAAAATTTGTATTTTCAAGTACGAAACGAGATTTCGATGATGAGTATACGTGCCTGAAGAATTTTAGAATAGTATTATCGCGCCATCCCAATGAAACGGCTCGTGCGTGAAATGAAAATTGAAAAAAGGAAAAGAAAAGCTATATAGCAATCCTCGCGAGTCAATTATATCATTATTAAGCTTTTCTCGCACGAGAAACATTCAACCATTGATTTCTCAGTGAAAAATCGAAATATAATATAATTCTTCCTCTATGTATATATATATATATATATAAATATATTTCAAAGTGAATTTCCCTTCAAGCTCTCGCTTTTCATCGGAAGCGTTCCAACTTGAGCGGGAGAGAGCCTGGGGCATTTGAAAAATTATAAAGTCAGCAGACTGAAGTCTCGTTAAGGCAAAACCATTGCTTTTACCTCCATCTCCATTAACCTATCGACTATAAGCATTAAAGCCGATGGCTCCCTTCATTTCTCGATTATTTCCCTTTCTCTCTTTTTCTCTCACGTCGACTCCCTCGAAAAGTGAATTTCTTTTAAAATTCCCAGTATTCTTTCGCCTCCCTTATTACGTGACAAGACTGTTGGCAGGTACGTACGTTATTTCGATATTAAGGTGAAAGCAACTATATATACAGTCGACTTTTGGAAAACGAGCATCGACTTCGCGAAGAAAAAAAAAAGGAAGAAGAGTGAGTTTCCCCGATAGCGAGAGATTCGTATACATATAAAGAGTCCAGTCACGTTTACGACTGTCGTTGATGCTGCTTCGAACGCATCCGCAAGTGAAGAAATTCGAGGGGGAGGAGGAAGATTTCAGGCGCAGTGTTACGTTTTTTTTTTTTAAAGAAAAATGATCTTTTGAAATAAATTTTTTTCATACTAGATGATGAATTTTTTGTTGTTCCTTTGACAAGTCCTAGACATAATGAATTCCTTAGTTTCATAAAAATATTTCTAAAAAAATTTTTTCCTTCAATTTAAAGTCTCAGAAATAATTATTTAGTTCAAAGTCTATAGAAAAACGAGCATCGACTTTTCGACGAAAAAAAGGAAGAGATTCCCTCCTCTCAATAGCGAGAGATTCCTATATAATAAAGAGTCCAGTCACGTTTACGACTGTCGTTGATGCTGCTTCGAACGCATCCCGCCCCGAGTTGAGAAAAATCGAGGGGTTAGGGGACGAGAGAACCTTGCACAGGCGCGGTGTAACGTTATTACAAAAGAAAATGATATATATCTCTCGAAATGAGGTAGAGGGGGTGGTTTGAAGAAAAAGGGTGGCTTCCCTTTTGTTGGGGGATTCCAGAGAGAGAAAGAGAGGAACGGCTCGATAGCAAACTTTGACCGAAAAATAGACGGAGGGTTAGACGAACCACATCTCTCTCTCTCTTTCTCTCTCAACTGTGCAAACTTTTCTACCTCTCCATCATTTTGACAACATTTGACCCCTCTTTCCCTCACCACTGTCAAAATGATACCAGACAGCCAATACGACTGTGTCCTCACCAACCTTTTAAAATATATTGCTTCGTCAATTTGATTCCACCCGTATCTCTCTCTCTCTTTCAGTACCTTTTTGCTTCAAGTGGATACTGTCATTCATCAAAAAACTGACTGAGCTTTCATCAGTTTGCTTTCGACGAGAAAAAAAATTCTGTTTTATTGACCCATACTCGCAAGATCTCAATTTTGTTCAACAAGCTGATATTGATACAATTTTTTTTATGTTTCAGATACTTCTAAAAGACTCAACCTTCAGCCAATTTTTTTGAAGATTTTTCATATTAGATAATGAATAATAATTTTTTTTGTATTTGGGAAGTCGAAAACTAATATCCAATTTATAAAAGTATTTTCATATTAGATGATGAATAATTTTGATATTAATTGGAAAGCCAAAAACTAAAAAACTCCCGTGTGGAAAGTTTTTCATACTAGATCATGAATAATTTTTTACTAGCATTGAGAGTATTTTCAAAAACAAAACTCCTAAATAGAATATCATATTTGCCTGTTTTTTTTTTGAAAGAATTAGAGAAAAATTTCTTTTTATTTCTATACAAAGAAAAGCTGGGATTGAGCGCAGTAAAAGGATCATAAATG